TTGTATTTCATTACTTTATGTTGCTGGTTGTTTGGAAATTTCCGTAAAGGTTTTTCTGGGAAAACTGCTCAATATTAGCTACAATTTTCTATTTACACTTTGATAGTAAAATATTTTAGTATATGTTGTTCTAATTCTACTTAAATATTGCACCCATGCTACAGGTGTGCAAAAGGACTTCACCTAGAGACAAAGCAGTCTTCATCTCTCTTCCTTTTTCCTTTTGTCTTCAGTACACTTGGCTCCAACAAATTTATATGAAATGATATTTCCCAAGCACTGACCTTTTTGACACTTACATGGACTCAGCATCTTAATTGCTGTTAGTGTGGATCACCTAAAACTGGCGCATAATTTCTCAAGACATTTATAGGTGATCATGGATATTCACTCTAACTAACAACAATACAGAAATCTGTAAATACCATAAAACTTTCTGCTGTTTCATTTTAAGTTATTTTAAGAGAAACGATGTGGTCTAGTAGCAGTTGTTGGCTTTTGTTTCACTGGAAATTTGTATGAAACTTGTTATGAGAAAATAATACAGCAGGTTGTATGGTTCAACTTGATTAACAGGAGGCTTTTATAAGTAATATACCACTGTTGCTTATACTGTACACACCAAACATTATTGCACTAGATATTTTTCTGCATGGAGTAGACTTTATCAAAAAATTATATTTCCTGCTTAATGACGTTTTGGAAACTTATTGTATGTAGTGTTCCCATCTTAAATGCTGTTAGTGTGAATCATCTGAAGCTGGTTTATAATCTTTGTAATATATTTATAGGAGACCATTGCTCTACAGTGTTCTAAATTTCCTGCTTATGATGCAATGGCAAAAGTCATTAAACATTAGCAGTAATAGTATTTTCACTGTAATAAAGTGTTAATTACTTCCACATGTTAATCGAGTTGGGGGGAGAGAGATTTTTGCTATTGTTACTGTGCCTAAAATAATTTCCATGTGATAATTTTCCAGGATATCAAAAACTGAATAATTATGCACTAATTAAGAAAGTAGAGCCTGCTCTGGAGTTAAGACTGCATTAATTTTAATGTTTTTACAGTCCTTTAATTGGGGAAAGGGCTGTAAATTGAGAGCTGATGCACTCTCCTACCATAAGCAGGCCTGCCTTTGCAATCTGCCTCCTATATACTGCAACCCAAGGTCAACACAAGTTTGCAAAATCCCTCTGCTCTTCATACGAAATGTATTGGTGGTGAAGCGTGCATCTATCACTCTGACAAGCATTTAACTCTCCAAGAGCACATGCTCTCACTTCTTAAATTATTAATTGCATTAAATACATTTTCATATCGCGGACTGTTTGCTACAAACTGTTCCCTGGTAGGGAGAGGCAGTCCCCCCACAGTATGATACAGCTTGCCTTCTGTTGTTTCAATGCAGAAGTACTATGCTTAGGAAGCTTGTATTTGAAGGGCTTCGACATGAAATAAGCTACAAAAGTAAGGATTATTGAAAAAGTCACCTTAGAAAAGTATTATTTTCATGTTGGGAAGTTGGCTTGATTTTCTCCCCTCCCACTTGTGTTTGCCGCCAGTATACAGAAGTCCATATTTTTTGGTTTGTTTGTGTCTTTAGACTTATCAGTCTCTGCAGTTTTCCAGGGTATTCTCCCTGTCACACCATTATCACAGGCAACGGCATCATCATTCGCCTCATTATCATCTGCGGGTCATTCCATTCCAAAATGGTTTAGCGTTACAACTAAAAGGAGGAATCTGGCAAATGGATCATATTATCTCCTGTGCTCACTCTGGTATTTGAATGCATTATACAAAATGCAGTTTTTATATTAACAGGCATCATGACCTTTGCCTATAACATGCTTATTTTAGCAATGCCTGCTAGTGCTGCTAGAATTTTGATTCTGCCAGTGTTTCTATTGTAAGCCTTATATTTATACCTCAGCCATGCCAAATGGGCTCCAAGCCTGCAGATGCAATGTTAAGATCCAGGCAGGGGCAAGGGGAGGGGAAGAAGCAGCTCAAATCGTTCCCCAGTGACTGTTAGTCAACTCGAGGAATGCCATCAATTGGATCCTGGAAGAGATTTACTTAGAGGCATTCTAATTAAGCAGGGTGCTGCCTTTGAAAAAATTTCAATATTAATGAAATTAAAGGGGTACATAAGAAAGACAGGTAGGTTTGGATTTGCATGCAAGTCTGGAGGACTGCTTGACTGAGGGAAAGTAGATATACTGTAGATGAACATTTGCAACCAACTGTTTTAAGTCACAGGGCCAAATACTGATTGGAAAATATTCAAGGGAAGGCAGCATAGACATCATGCTTAAAACGTAAAGAATCTTTCACGGATGTGGGGTTCCTAGATTCAGGATAAAGATGTAAGAAATGTAATAATGACATAAGCTATTGGATGATTCAAACAATGAGGCAGGATCAGAGGACCCAGTACAATAAAACTTCTGGAAAACATTCACATCAAGATTTCAGGCAGTTTTGAGGGCCTACGTTTGGTGGAGATTCTATCTTTAATCTCACTTCCTCATTTCTGTCTGGGCCTGAAAGGAACTGCTATATGATTTAGTGGAAAAATATAACTTATCTACAGAAGCTTTTAGTTATTCTATAAAATTTGGTTGAGAATTGCCTCACTGATGTTGAATAATTTTATAAAGCTAGCAAGTTTATCATTTTCAAAAAAAATAAAATAAGAGTACTTGCTATGGGACTCTGTTATATTTCTATAGAAGCCACCATCTGAAACCTTTAATGTACCTTTAAATAAACTAGCTGTCTTGCTGTTATTCCTAAGATACAGGCCTCTACCTCCACTAGAGATTGTCTATACATCTCACTAGAGGCTTGGGAAAAGTCCATCTCTAAACTAAGGGTCTCTCTTAATTCTCCTGAAATTTCAGCTTCCATGCATCACTGGATACCTATATTTTAGTAGCATCACTGTAGACAAGATTAACATTCAGCATCAAGTCAAAGATCCACTCATAAATATCTTTATAGTATAGATCATCAACCATCAGTTCAATAACATTTCAACAATAAAGACAGATAGGATGCTGTGCATTCAAAGGTGCTGTAGTATATAGTAAATCCCAGGCACTTCCAGTGATGTTTCAAGCGTGATTTTAAGATTCCTTTAAGTGCATCAATACATTTTGACACACTTCACTCTGAAGCAATATAAAATACATTGACATGAGATGAAACCAAGCTGCTTCAAAGGATGTTTTTAAATTAGTCTGTTCTAACAATGCAGAAATTAAATCCTAAAATCCTCGTTTAAATAGAAAAGGACAGGGACCGGCAACTCTTTTAAGCCCCAGGCCAGAACAGCTCTGCTTTGGTCCAGTGCAAGCTGGGTGGCTTTGGAGGAGTATCAGCAGTGGGGGCACTTTTTATGTGCCCTGGCCAGACCTATGCAACTGGGGTGCCTGCACCACCTCTGCTTTTCCCAGTCCCAGGCTCCCTATGTAAGTGCAGCTTTCAGCCAGAGAGAAGTTGGGCTGGAGCTGGGCAGGTGGACGCAGCTACCATGCTCCTACCTCCTTCACCCCCACTCATACTGAGACTGGCCCTGGCACAGTTGTCCACTGGCTGGAAGCTACATTTATATCACAGCCTTGGGGAGGCAGGGCAGAGAGAAGCGACACCAGCACAGCACAGCTTTCAGCTCTTTGTTTCTGGCACAGCCGCTGTCTGGCTGGAAGCTGCACCCACACCACAGACCTGGGGAGAGGGCAGAGAGAAGTGGCAGCAGCATGGGCACAGTGTGAAGCTCCCTGGGCCTGGCACAGCTCCTCACTGCTCAACCCTGTGCGGACATGGGCACAGGAATGGGCATGGGCACAGGCACAGGCAAAGCCCTGCAGCTTTGTGGGCCCAATTTAGTGGTCCCGTGGGTCATATGTTGCTGATCCCTGGGATAGGATATGCAATTCAAAGGTAGTTTCACTTTGCCTATTGCTCCATTGAGCATCAGTATTGGAGTCAGTCACCAAAGTGTACAGGGCATATTATGACCAATGTGTTGTGCAGTTGGGAAAAATTAAGGGTGGAATCATAGTCTGAAGCCTGAATTTTCTAGCTATTTTTAAATTTAAATAAGTTCCTGGAATTGTTTTGGTATGTTTATTCAGTGGATCAAGTTGTGTAAGGGGATGGACCATTGTCCATTTCCCCCATTGCTACTCATTTTGTTGAGCTTCCATTTTAACAAGTATTGCTCTTTGTGCTTTGTTTCCCCCCTTTTAAGGTGGCAAAAGTTAGACTTCTTGAAGATTGGAGCACATTACATATTTTTGTCCTATTGGAAGACTATAGAACATCAATGCAATGATCAGTATCCCTGCTGCTTAGGAGAAAAAGACTGTAGAAAAGTTCACAAAGGAAAATTATGTAAAGCCTAGCAGGGACATTTTTCAATTTCACCCAACACTTTTTTTTTTCTTCTGCTCCAATTTCTGCATTACCATTGCATTAATTAGAAATTTAGGTAAATGACATAAGTGCCCTAATTTTTTATTTCTGCCAGGAGAACAATTGGGCCATTAGAAGTAACAAATGGTCTGGACGTATGTTGCCTGTTGAAAATTTCAAGCTGCATTATTTCTGACAAGAAAAAAAACAAATAATAGTTGTTTTGGCCAATTTTTACCATAAGCAATGTCAGCTTTAGCAGATGCAGAGTACCACTGGCTTTTTTTTCTATTGTCATGGCTCATTAAAGTATGCTGACTCTTGTGGATTCCCATTTCCTTTAGGTAAATAGTTATTTACATGAACTACGACATTTTTCTTTGGTGACAATTTCTAATTGTTCAGGCAACCAAGGGTGATATATTAACCACTCGAAATAAAGCTTCACCTATGAAATAAATTACTTTAAATTAACTATCCTTTCAAAGGAAAGGCAAAATTTCAAAATGGACAAATTAGGCCCTTCTTAGCCACATATGGTAAGTGTTTTAAGCATTTCCCCATTGGTACTTACTCCAGAGAACAATTCTTCATGATGGAGTGGAAGACTTGTTTGCTCATTTGGGGGTCCTATTTAATGCCAGTGTTTGCCAACATTGTAGTCAGGTCTAATGCTATGGCTGAGCACTGTTCCTTCTGCTCATTATTCTGCACTTTGATAACTTCATACCCTTTGCCTTTCCTTTTAACTCTTTCTCTGCCACAGAGGCTGAAATGAAATAGGGAGAAAAATTCAATACTTCCAAGATGTTTTCATAAAAAATGATCATTGTGATTAACATGAAAACTCTGAAACCATTACTGCTCTTCAGAGTATGGAGTTACCTTTTCTTTCTTTCTTTCCTTTTTCTTTTTTTTGAGAGAGCTGCACTGATGCATTCACACTAATATTTCTGTTGATATTTTTTTTGTCTTTTTTTTTCTAATTTTCGTTGCTTAGCTGGCAATACTGGCATCTGTCAGTCTTGCCTATCCAACTGATAGCCTTACTTATTAAACCTATTTTCTTTTCACAACTACAGCCTCCTGCTCCCCCCATAACTTTTGCTTTCTTCACAGCAGTCTCTGCCTGC